TTATTATTATTATTAAACAGACATCAACACCTGCGAGAAAATTTATTTTACATATAATTTCTTAGAATACATAAAAATGCATGGATTGTAATAAAGAATAAACAAACATCATCTTATTTCATCAGTGCTGCAGTAGAGAATAAAATACAAGCATAAGAAACTCAACAGCTGTGATAAAAATATATAAATAAAACTTGAAATTAGCAGAATATGTAAAAGTTCACATCACACCTTTCACCATGTTGCGAAACACTGGTCTAAGCTACCATTGTTAGATTATCATCAGAAGAGCACTGTTAGAAATTCAGCATCAAAGGTGCTATGGCCACAACTGATCAATCACTAAGCAACATCTAATATGTTATCATTCCCAATGCACATGATGATCCAAATTTTGAAAGAAAGAACACTTGAAAAATTGTTCACAGTTCAAAAAGCAAACATAACCTGATGATGATGGCTTAGACCACAAAAACATTTGTTCTCTTTACAAACTGACAGGTATTTGCTGGAGTTTGAATATGTAATATAATATATAATTTCAAAAATATTAAAAAAATTAAAATCTGTTTAATGACTAAACATCATTCTTTTTCTCAGTATAAGTCTTATTTATTTTTTTTAATAATTTCATAAAATGTAATATAAGTTGCAATTCCCTATTTTTAATGCCACACTGTCAGAATATCAATTTATGTATAGTTTTATTAAGCAGAAAAATAAAAGTAAANATCCATAATAAAACAGAATTAAACCAAACTTTCTCTTATTAGAAATAAATAAACAGATTATATATATACACTCCATACATATCAAAATTTCATTCATTTAACCCCTCACTTTAACTAGATATGGTAGTAATATATTATGTATCCAAACTTCAGCAAATATCTGTTAGTTTGTGTATAGAGTAAACAATTTAGTGGTCTAAGCCAGTGTTCCGCAACCTTTTTCTACTTGCGGCACACCCATGACTCAACACGGCACAGCAAAATGCTATTCCTCTCAAAAACGTATTATATGATACTATTAATAGAATTACGTAATGCCACTAACCTAGTATTATTAAACAGACATCAACACCTGTGAGCAAATTTATTTTACATATAATTTCTTACAATCCATGCATTTTTATGTATTCTAAGAAAGAATAAACAATCATCATCTTATTTCATCAGTGCTGCAGTAGAGAATAAAATACAAGCATAAGAAACTCAACAGCTGTGATAAAAATATATAAATAAAACTTGAAATTAACAGAATATGTAAAAGTTCATGTCACATTTTTCACCATGTTGCAGAACACTGGTCTAAGCTACCATCGTTAGATTATCATCAGAAGGGCACTGTTAGAAATTCAGCATCAAAGGTGCTATGGCCACAACTGATCAATCACTAAGCAACATCTAATATGTTAGCATTTCCAATGCACATGATGATCCAAATTTTGAAAGAAAGAACACTTGAAAAATTGTTCAAAGTTCAAAAAGCAAACATAACCTGATGATGGTGGCTTAGATTAGTGTTCCGCAACCTTTTTCTACTCGCGGCACACCTATGACTCGAAATGACTCAACACGGCACACTAAAATGTTATTCCCCTCAAAAACGTATGATATGATACTATTAGTGGAATTTCGTAATGCCATTAACCTATTATTATTATTATTGTGTTGAGTTTTGTGAGTTATACTCGGTTCACACTGATGGCTGTGTACTATGCCGAACCAGAGTTAAGACATAGTAATCAAAACAAGACAAAAATTAAGTGTGTTAGTGTGTGTCTGTATTCAGGAATTTCCTAACAATATGACATGCATTCAATATAGTGGCCTTCTGTAGTATGATGTGTGTTTCTATTCAATTTTAATGTTCCCAGGCTTTTGTGTGGCGTGTGTGTTATGACACCTTTAGAGGATAGAACGACAAGTACAATAAGCACCCTATCCATCCTCCATAGATGCTTTATTTCCTGGGCGAGTTCTGTATACTTGCTGATTTTTTCACTGCATGTGTTTTGTACATTGTGAGTGTTTGGAATGGCTATGTCTATAATGTATGTGATTTTATTGTGTTTGTCAATGAGTGTGATGTCTTGTCTGTTGTGGTAAATTGTTTTATCTGTGATTATGGCTCTGTCGTA